AAGCCTCAGTGATACAGAGCTTTGACTTCACTGTAAATATATATATATCAAGCCAAATTAGAGTTTTTCATGTTCCGTTTATTTACTGAAAGTTTCTTTATATATGTTTATTATTGCCATTCACTACAGCAGTCTCTAAGACCTTATATCCTGAATTACATTATTATATCTTATATGGGTGTATATGAGGTTTTTGTCTGGCTCAGTATATTGTGTTTTAATATATCAGGGCATTCAGGGCCAAATTCTTGTTGTCTTAATCACATTAGTAGTTCCACTGATCTCAAAGGTGCTGCTTGTGTGAGTACGGTGAGCAGGACTTGGCTCATAGTCTCTGGGAAAACAGTGCCATCGTGACACTTGTTAAGATCAGTTGCAAAGTTGATTTACAAGATGTTGAGTGAAATTAATTTTAAGTTATCTTAATTAGGAATCAGATGTGTAGCTGTTTTATTTACACACCATGGTTGTGTAGTTTCCACTTTTTTATTTGATAAGCAAAATACCTGGGTCCAATCCTACATTTATTGTCCGTCTAAAACTTCAATTAAAGTCTGTGGATGGACTCCTGCTGACTGTACTCACAAGAGTATCATTTGAATTCAATTGGCCCGATTTTGATTTTACTTACACCATCATAAATCAGGAGTAACTTCACTGTGGTTAATTGAGTTATACCACCATAAAACCAGTGTGAGATCACAATCAGCTCTAGTGGGACTGCTTGTCAGACTTTGTTCAGTGGAAGTTTTGGGTGCACAAGGAATGCACAATCATCTGGCGCTACATTTGCATTTACATAGCCGTCTTGCAAGAGTTAACCTACCAACCTTTGCACCAGAACAAGACAAGTGACCAGCCCTGCGTCATATTAACAAACAGATGCCCGCATGCAATCCTGATTTAATAAATTATTGTTCTGTAGCAAATGTGCTTTGGAACATCTCTCCTTAAGAAATACTGTACTAGTTAAAAATGTGTACAGTTTCCACCAGATTTGCAGCATCGACAAAAGAGTAACACATCAGATTTGCTTCATATACCCAGAGACTCTTGTCCTTTCCATGCTCTTTTCTAGATTTAGCAAAATTCAATGATGGTGCTAAATCAATTTTTTTTTAACTTTCAAGGGAGAAAACACTGGCAAAATTGTGTTTTCTAGGGAAGGCTGTGTGTGTAAATGAGAAACAGTGGATAGCAGCAGAGTGATCTCCTGTGGCCCTGCTAGTACAAGCTTTCCCCATATTGTCTCCTGCTTTTATATTAATTACAACTTGCATTATCAGCTGCGAGTCTGTAGCCCGGCAAATAGAAAATACTGCCCCTGGAGACCTAGCTTCTTGTATCTATTTTCCATCTCCTTCTATTGTGCTCCACTCAGTATTCACTGCTTTTCTCCTGGTAACACTGCTCTTTAACACAATTAGGTAAGAGCAAGAAGAGCACCATATTTGACTCCCAATTATTAAAACTACTGGGAATAGATACATGTGCACTGTCTGCCTTCTATGGTACACTGCTGTAGTTTAGTTCATGATTAAATACATGTGCATTTATGTTATAGTGTATGTATGTGTATGTGTATATACATATATATAAAATCAGCAAATGCATTTTAATCACACCACTCTTTGATCTTTCTCTGCAAAGCACATTTTTAAAGCTAACAATATTATTCACAAATTGATAAGAAGCTATGTTAACAGTTTATATAGCAATTCTATCTATCTATAACTCTTTTTAGAGCAATACCGTGGGCCTGATCCAAAGCCCAATGAAGTCAATGGAAAAACTGCCATTAACTTTAGTGGGCTTTTGGGTGAGGCTCTCTATATGCATAATACATTGTATTGATTAGTTCCATCAGAGTAATTCTCTTAAAATGTATATTTGGGTATCAGTTTTGCTTCAGTATTCATAAAATTACTGCAAATGACTGGGAATGTGTCCAGGAAGATTTTCTTCAGGGATGCAAAGTTGGAACCTGTCTAGGAAAAAAAGTAAGAAGTTGGATTACACATACACACACACACACATATCTTAATCTAAAGAAAAATAGTGGTGCCTCATGATCCACCCTTATGGTTTCTGATCACAGTTTTTATAATACAAAAGAGTAGTTAATTTCCCTGTGCTTAACATATTCTTAGTATTCTATGATTGCAACATGTAAATAACCACTTTATTATTTTTATCTCTCCACAAAATGCTGCCAAATTCTTTTCCTCAAGAAACCCGTGTCATAAGAAATACACTGAGTTCCAAATCAATACAGTCTGTGTTTCTAAAACTCAGTCTACAAACTGAGGTCAAGCACAACTTGGACTGGTATAGACAGCTAGGGTTTTCAGCTGCGGGAAGTCTGATTCGGTGATGCTTTCCAAATCATTACATTTTCGGAACAGAAGACTGGTCCAGCTTTTGAAATACTGTATGATAGGTTTTGGATGACATTTGCCTTAAAACATAGCTGAGGTGTTACTGGTTAATTATTGTAATTTTCATATGTATGGTAAGGAGCTTTAACAGCAACCAGCTTAAGAGAGCCTGCAGTGTATAAAATTAACATAACTCGCTGTGTTCTCTGAAAAGTTTAGCCTAGGTGAACATGTTGCAATTATTATATTCTAAAAGAAGGTTCCAGCCTGATGTTGTTGGAGGGCTAAACTCATGCCATGCTATTGTTTCTTTCCTTTTTCATGTATTTCTTCTAGCTCTTTATCTGATTACCATCCGGCAAACAGCTGACGCTAAGAGGCTGCAGAGGGCTGAAGAGCTCCTGTCTGCTGTTTGCCTTCAGCTTGAAGCTATTTGAGTGGTTTCCTAACTCAGAGATAAAAAGAGGAGCTCATAGGCACAACTCTTATTTTAATCCAGGCTGCAAAGAAACTTGCTCAGTCTTTGCATTTTATTTCTGTCTGAACTTTCTCCCCCACTTTATTTTCATTCATAGTCTATTTTTTAATAACATCTGAGCTGCTTTGACTCTTTAGACTTTTCATCTTTCTTTTTGTTTTTATTTTCACCTGACTTTGCAACATGATGGTAACATACTTTTTATTATGGTTTTGGGGATGGCGATAATTAGCTTTTGGTGGATTTAGTTGGTACAACAGTCTCAACAAACATATAATACTAGTGTGTAATCAGTAATTTTTGATAGTCTTTGTTGCAGTTCTATATTAGAGAAAGTATGTGAGTTAGTTCAATAGAGTTTGTATCCTAAATTCTGTCAGCCGTGCTGACGGGTTATGGCTGTTGTGGATCCTGGGACAAATCCTGCCTGATTTACTCATTCGTGTAGTCCAATTGATTTAAGTGGGACTGTTTGTGTACATAAGGCAAGCAGGATTTGGCTCCCTATTAGTTTTTGGTTACTTAGGGTCTGATCCAAAGCCTGTTGAAGTCAATGGAAGTCATTTAATTGACAACAGTGGGCTTTGAATCAGGCCTGTAAAGTTTGGTTGGGTTTGGATAAAAACATTATCTGGCTGTTTCACTATATTGCTGTAATGCATGTGGTATCAATCAGTTTTGGGAAATTACCTAGACAGGGTTCATTGTATATACAGGGCTTGATTCTGATCACACGTACACTGGTTTTACTCAGGGTAACTCCACTGATTTTATTTGATTTACTTCTGATTTACATTGGTGTCAGTGAGGTCAGAATCAGGCTGTATATGCATCAGCATACATCATTCACAGTTCATGGTATTTGCTGATGTTGTAGTAGTTTAGGGTGTGCATTATTTTCTCAACCAAGATTTTTTTATTTTTCAAAACTTTTCTTGTCTGAAAGTGTTACAATGTGCTTAATCTAAGTTGTCACATACAGGTGACAAGTAATGCAGGTCCAGCCCCAAGTCTGATCTGTTTCATGTGTTCTTGCTCTCCTTTTTTGCCAGAGGAAATTCCATCTCTTGCCTGCCTTCATGTGGTGCTGATAAAGCTCTTCCTGTACAGTAGAATTCCTGTTTTCCTTTAAGCAACAGCAGGGTATTGGGAATGATCAGGAAAGGGGAGGAGGACCAGGAGGAGACTACACTCAACAAAGTAGCACTGAACTGTAACTTTCAGTTTTCCTCACTTATCCTTTTAAATAGGAGTTCTTCACTCTAGAAAAACCAATACTCAATAAATTAAAAGCTATCATGAGTTATGTGACTGAAGTACAGTAGTAGAAGTCTTACTTAGCCAAGTATTGTCAAACTTCATATGTCTGTCTTTTACATTCTTTTTTTATTGTATTTTATGTGTATTAATGTAGAAAGAATTACATAAAAATCACCATATATATTATTTTATATAATCACCTGGTGATTATGCTTGACAGTTCTTGTAAGTGAACTGTTAAAGAGCGATACATCTAGAAAGTCTTTAAAAATGTGTCATATCGAAGAAAAAAATTCTTTACTAGTATATATAATGTGTTTCATAGAGAGCTTATTTTTCCCACAGCTCTGCGTTTGCTTGAAGTATTTCCAATATTCAAACTGGTGGCGGAAAGAAGGGTGTGAGGGTATGCTCCCCTCCCATCCACTTTTTCCTTTACTTTTTAAAATACTTTACAAAAGAAATTCCCTCTCACCTAACCAGATGTGGCAAAAATGGGGGAGAAAATGTGGCACTACATCCACTCCAGTTTGAGCTTCAAGTATTAGAGAAAAAAACATGTCAACTCATCTGCAAATAGTTCATCAGGAAATACTAAAGCTTTTGGCAGAAGTGTTTTACTGCTCTACTATTAAAACAATTAATCCCAGATAGCTGTTGGAAGAGTAAAAATCGGTCCTTTATTTTATCAAATAAATCTTTGTATGTCCTCCGCTTCTAACTACTGAAGACATATTACATTGTACAAACAGTATCAGTATTTGGCACGTTTCACAAATGCTAATGTGTATACTTTTCCTCCTTCCCCCTCTGTTTTCTTTCTGTTCCTCATTTGCTATTGGAATGGGAACTGTGGAAAAAATTCCTTGGCATTCTGACACCAGAACCCTTCATCTTGGAGAGACCACGATGATGCAACCTCAACGCATTCAGCAGGCACACCGGGGCCCTCCAGTGGGGGCCATGCTTCCCAGAGTGGAGACAACAGCAGTGAGCAAGGTAAAAGGTCAAACTTTTTCCCTGTGCAAAGTAGGCATGACTAAAATAACTTTGGCTTTTTTATGATATCAGTACATCTGCCTTAGTGTAAACATGGAGTGGCAGGCTTGCAGTGTAATCAGCTGTAACTTAGGGAGACACTATTTCCTTTTCTTAACCTACTTAGCTGCATTTTATTATTATTTCAAAGCGAAATATCTAATCTTCAAACAAGTCTTTGTAATAACAATTGATTAGTTCTGCCAATTCCTTTACAAATTTGGTTATCTGCAGTTTATTTTTGAGTGGTGTAAGTAAATATAATGACAGGCATACTCTCCAGCTGTGATGCAGTAGTTTGTACTGGACTGTAAACAGAGAATTTAACTTGTAATATTAGCTATAAAAGGACTCCTATAGCAAGCCCTAAATCTGTTACAGCATATAAGGAAGATGCAGAAGTCAACTCTGACTGACTGAAAAAAATCTTGTGCAGTGGTTGCCTGTATAATATGTTTTCTGAAAACATGAATTTTGAATGCTTGATAGAGACAGACTCAGGCTGCAAAATTCAAGTCCAGAACTAGATTTTGAAAACCCCCGACTCTCCAAAGTTCAGGAAGGCCACAGCTTTGTACCTTGTTCAGCCATTTCTGCCTGTGCCAAGTGGGTGTCAAACACTGCCATTCGGACTGGGTAGCATGTTACACCTGCTTTGCACTCACTTGGCACAGGTGTAAATGACTGTGCAAGGCAGCGGAGAGTCAGGCTCCAGGTGTTCAGAAATTGAGTTTTGGTGGAATCTCTTGTATAGATGAGGCTCACTGTAATTTTTGGATTTTGATCTGGGTTCACATTTTAAACATTCCCGAGGTTCAGTGTGGTAGTTGCAGTTTCTCTTTGGTATATTGAACTGGGTCCCTCTCCTGTTGTTATAGATTATTTGTACAGGGTGCATTTAGATTGTTGCTGCTAGAAAGTGGAAGAGGTTATGATAAAGGGTTTGATCTTACTCCCATTTGAGTCCTTCAGAATCTTTTCATTAACTTCAGTGGGAGTTGGATCAGGCCTTAAGTCAATGGGAGTCATTCCATTGACTTTAACTAGATTTAGACCAGGCCTGTAATGAACTATAACAGTCACAGTAACTAATGACAAAGAGGGCTTTAGTTATAAAGCACCAGGTCAGTGAAACCTCTAGTAATTAACTAGCAAACTTTATGGTTTATAGATATAGATATAATCAATATGGATTTCTTGTCACTAAAATGATGATGATTTAGTGGAATATTTATTTATTTTTTAAAGCGCCCATCCCTGTGGCATTTGGGAGTATGACATAACTTAAATACATCAATGCATTATTCTAAACTGTCCATCCCAAGCAGGACACATAGGCCTCATACCTGTATCCATGCCCTACTCCCAACAACCATAAATAATTCAGCAATGATCCATCATCAAACAATGTTTGACCACAAAGACATGTCTTGTACTGCAGCTTGGAGGACAGAAAATTTGAGCTCTGGTTGATAGCCAGCAGGAGTGAGTTCCGTGGTCCTGGGATCCTGCACCCGAATACCCAACTTCTAATCTCCAGGCATGTAAATCTAGGGGCTGTCAGCAAATACTCCTAGGCTGACCTCATTATTTGGTATGAAGCATAGGCAGAGGTCAACCCTAAGGTAGCCAGATATAAGATCTATCATTCTAAGTTATGGTCTGTGGTATTGTATGCTCACAAATATACTATAAAAATATACTATACTTATTTAGGCATCCAGTGGGCTCCTGTGTAGGAACCAATTTAATCACCTGAGTGTTGCCTGGTGTGCTAGGAAAAATATATACCTAAAGTGCTTCCCCATCTACCTGGTATGTTTCCTTTTGAAGTGCCAATCTACAAATTGAATGTCAGGACTCCAATCAGCTGCTAGCACTTGAAAGATGTACACTCCTGTGATGTTTAGGTAAAACTCCCATTGAAGACTATGGCCTAGATGCCTCCCCTCCCGCATCCTCCCAGGGAAATTACAAGAGGGTACCTATTGGAAGAAAATTCTGCAAGAATCCCCTTGTTGAATTTTCCTTGGATTGTTCCATTAGAGGGGCAGAATTGGCCTCATAACTACTGAACAGGCAGTGGTTCTATCCCCAAGCCACATGGACCCCCAGAATCTGAAAGAGGCCGCAGCCATCTGTGAGGAGAATCTGTGCCTCTCCTCCAGGTCTGGGACCCGCTTGTCTGACCCTTGCTGGCTCTCTGATCATTTGGCTCCACGGAAACTGCATTGCCAAGGCTCTCCTTTGCTGCTGCCTCTGGGGCACTGCTCCTCCAATGGGGTTTCTCTGGGATGGAAGAGTTCATGAAAGAGTTAATGCAGCCTCAGATTGCATTAATATCCCAATGGCTTTTCCACCAGTGTCAGGTGGGGTGGCAGAGGTAAGTGATCCACATTGCTCCTCCTCAGTCCTGCCTCTTGACCTTCCACTCTTTCCTGGCCCTCCTGGCCCTTCCTTTCCTGATCCTCCTACTCATTCCCCTGACCCACCCGTTCTCAGATCCAGCTCTCTTCCTTAAGGGAAGGTCAGTGGGATCTGATGATGGGTGGATGCTGCCATCGATGTTGTTGACCCTCTGTGCAGGATAAGGTAGATCCACACAAAGGGCTGCTCCCATGATGTTGTGACTAGAAAGCATTAAGCCATATGGGAGTTTTGCCTGTTTAAGGAGTGCAGTATCTGACCCAGAATGCCACAGCACAGCGGCTGCCCATTCAGCATCAAAAGGGTTAATGTAGGGGAAGTTTGAAATTAGTTAAAATATTTTGGCACTGAAAGAGTTACAAAAAGGGCCTTCAGGCAGTGAATGATGAAATATTATCCTAATTTTATTAGTGGTGAGTGTCTGTGTTGTTTTTAGCATGTCACCTCGGCTGTACAAGGGGAAACTACACTATACGCTGTATCGATCATCTAACAAACATAACTATTAGTGACCTGTAATCTACCAAGCATTTATTGACTTTAGCCTGGTTCAGATTCACAGACCCAGGTCAATGTCACAAAATACTATTGTAGTGAATAGTAAATAATGTAGTAAATATAATCAGCTTTTTTTTTTCTCCAGTGAAAGGGAGAAAGGGTTCAATACATCTAATAATAAAAATAAAACATTCAAAACATTTTACAAAGGAGGGGGGGGAAGGAGAAGCCGATTTAATGGTCTAATGAGGCCATCTTCCAGAGACTTGTTTTGTGTAAGGCTTGCTTTGACCTTTCGCTTTGCTCAGGAGCCCAACGCTTCATTTTTCACATTCTTGCAATTACGTTAACGCTTCAAGCATTTCTGACTCCAAGTCAGCTAGCAACACCAGGCATAACTCAACACTGTGAGTTTTTCTCCTCTCTGTAGATTCATTAACAGGTCACTGGGGTCCCAACTGAAATTTAAAACTGACTGGTTCTGTTGGGTTAGTTGAGTTATGGCAAGGGAGACAGCAGGAAAGGGGCTGAGAGAAGGGGAGGAGAGATAGAAGACCCTAGGGTTTTTGGCAGGGAATATATCTGTAAAACCCTAAGCAGCACATTAAAAGGTGTGTGAAGCTTTTTGTTGGGGGGGGATCTGTAAGTCTTTTGGGGTGCTACATTTTCCTTATTCTTTGCAAAATAAAGTAAAATGTGCTTTTGCATATGTAATGTCCAAATTATTATAGCAACTTCTAGTATCCTGTATTGGTTTATTCCATGGTGATGGATATGTCACCCACAGACTTTAATTCTTATTTAATCTCTTTATGGGATATTTCAAATAATGAATATGGCAGATTATGCATGAAAAGCAGGAAATCAATCTTTTTAAGATTTAAAAACATGTGGTCTACAGGAAACCACTGGAGAATAGTGTTAGTTTCATATTTTATGACACCAAGATTGTATACCTGGTTTGCCACATTTTTAGTTTTTTAAATCAAAGGGCCCGATCCTTAGAGGTGTTAAGCACCCACAAGCAGGCCTGTTGAGAGAAATTTGGGGCCCCAGTGCCTCATGTTCACTGGGTCCCCCAACTCCTCCCATTTCACTTTATTTATGCAGACATTAGACATATATGGACGTATTTATACAGATGTTCAGCACCTCTCAGTATCAGACCCACAGTGGTAAACTTGTGCATAAGTTACAAGCCAAAAGCAGGAAGCTCGTTCTGCAGCGTATAGCAGCAAACTTAACAAGATGGGATCAAATTCTACTTGCCTTACTCATGTGAGTAGTTCCACTGGCATTGATGGATCTATGTGTGTGAGTAAGGTGTGTAGGCTTTGGCCAACTGTAGAGAGGATCTGAGCACCATTTGTTCAGAAAATATCTTAATTAGTCTTTAAACATTTTTCTGTGGTAGTTTGATGTTTTGTCCCACTGATTTGCCCACACTAGCTTTCTGCGGGAAAGATTAATTATCTGCTTCAGGGCAAAGTCAACAGAGATATTGACTGAAATCACACATGCTTATCCTAGGTTACATCTTTGGGTTGATGCATATTGGAAAAGTTAGTCTGGGTGAGTTTCTTGTTCATTGTGTAATACATTATGATATACGAATTTGGAAACACCGTTAGTTGGTAAGTCAGAAAAGGCCTTTCTTGATATTGAAACTACTAACACAGTAGGCATATGTAAAATGAGTCTGCTTTGAAACCAAATCATAATAGATCCAGAAAGAAGGAGGAGATGTATTAAATAATGCAATGTGTTCATACACAGTACGCAATTGAATTTTCATACCCAAACTTTGCTATTACAAAACAACATGCATTTATAATGTTTTTTCCCCCATTATTCTTTTACATATCATGTGTAGATATGCATGCATTGGATTGTATGCATATCTCCTTCTTATATCTTCAAAACTTCTCAGCTTAACACCTTATAGAGTGAAGGTACAGTTTTATTGGTGAAAAATTATCATTTTGTTGCTAGAAAGTAAACTCCAGGTTCTGTTGTGAAAAAGCAAACTTCCTAAT